TCAATCAAGCTCAAGTATCGTGAGCTACCTAACACGAGAATGACTCTTAGACACACGGCTCAAAGGGGTTGACTAAGGGATGATATGATCGGGTCGGTCAACATTTGGGTCGCGGACTAAACCTATGCCTCCATCTTCCTCGCCAGCAACAACGTGAATGCTACGCATCATGTAAAGGGGGATCTATCACAAAAGAACAAAACGAACGTCACAAGTCTCACATGGCTACCTAGGTGCTTAATCATTTGTTCTAACTCCCTAAACTCGATGCATAGGCAAATGTGAAAAGCATGTAATCGATTCAAACATCTATTAGTTCACAAACATATGAGAAATGAACCTATGCACAAACCTAATACAAGTCTCAGTCGTCATCATAGGTTGCACACAATCACAAGAAAATCATCCATAGACAATGCTAATAACAACGAGATTCAAAACAAATAACCAGAAGGTGCCACTATGATCATGCAAATGTAGAAGTTGTTATGCTTGGAGCCCTCAAATTTTTCAAATTTGAGCATACATCAAGGCTCCAAGCATTCAAAACCACACCAAACATTCACACACACATGCATAATAGACTACCCCCCCCCACCCAAACACACACTTAAGCTCGACATTGCCCTTAATGGCGTAAAAGAAGGGGATAGAACGATGATACTGGTCAAGTTGTGAATGTTTGTGCTCGGGAGCGGAGGGCGGGTGAGATCCGGAAGATCAAGGAGACGGCAACACACCACCAAAATCTCTTCATATGGTCATCTTATTGAAGTGAAAATAAAACAAACCGATGGAACGGTTGGGTTGCTCCCACCAAGCGCTTCTTTAACATCGTGAGTCGGATAGTTGCTCCTCAAGTTTCTGTCCACCCAAGAACCTCCTTGAAGTTGAGGTTCTCAACGTTGAGGTGATGTCTCAAGTCAAGTCACGAGCATTGGAGGAGTCCATGATTGAGGGCTCGTGAACTTGAGTGGCATTGAGGCTCCACCCACGAGACCTCTCCTTCTTTCTCTTTGCCCCACACAATGTAATGCATCATCTCTTTACCACCATCGCATCCACCACGAGGGATCGCCAATGGTTTTCCCTTGGCTTGGCAAAGAGTCACAAATAGGTCCTTCTCAAGAAGCCCGTCGAGGTCCGGTGGAAAGCTTTCGTAGCCCTCGTAACTTGTGGATGCTTCATCAACCTCGACCTTGTCCTCATCTTGGACTCCACTTGAACCTTCTTTTTCTTCTTCAACCTCCATTCCTTCTTCATCAATTTCATCCCTTTGGGAACACTCAAGATCTTCCTCCTCTTTAATGCTCGCTTCCTCCTCTTCAACCTCTTCTTTCCTCATCTTTCCTCGCTCTTCCGCAAGCAAACGTTGAATAGCGAGTCTCCAAGTTATGTCTTCGACAGACTCGACACTCATCTCCTCATTGAGAACTTCCTCTTCAAGGCTTGGGGTAAAATTTGGAAGAGTGGTGGCTTCCTCAAGAGGACATTCCAAGTCTCGAGCATCACGGTGGCCATCCGTAACACCTTCTGACCGTTCCAATTCATCCTCGAGGCTTTCCTCTTCATCTTCCTTTTTCACCCTCTTCTTTCTCCTTCCATTTCATGTCTTCAAGCACAGTTTGGCGGGAAAGGTGCCATGCAAGATCATAGAAAGGATTCTTTTGCTCCTCCACACTCGTGTCTTGGTCTTCAAAGTTTCTTTCAGGAAGGGGAAAGTGATGTGAGTCATCAATGCAACCCTCTTGTTCATGCTCACCACAGGAGCTCTCCGGGGTGAGTTCTTCTTGGTCCACACGTTTTTCATTGCTCGCCCTTTCAACATCCTCTTTCTCCTCCAATACTGAGAGGCGATAGCTTTCACAAGCTCGTGCCACTTTCTCTTCCAATAATGAGAGGCGATAGCTAGTACAAGCTTGTGCCACCTTCTCTTCTTGTGTCATACCGGGAGGAGGGAGGAGTTGGAAATCCGTGTTGGAGCTTGTTCTTGCAAAATTCTCCACGACAAGCTCCAACTTGGACTTCACTTCTGGTTGTGGGAGATCCAGTTCGCCCTTCATTGGTGCCTCGAACAAACCGCTCCACCATGATCTCCAATTGGCTCTCTGGCTCTGGTTGTTGAGTGGCACATGGTCTTGAAGATTGTGCCATGAAAGCTTCCATTGCCAACTCCAACTTGGATTTCTCCTCGGGTTTTTTAGGGAAATATTATTGATATGGGGAAGCCTCTTCATACACCCACTTGACTCGCACGAAACTACACCACAAATTAATCCTGACTAGAACCCAAGTTTTTAAACTCTAGTCGGGTGCAGTATAGAACAAGTATTTAAATTGTCAACCTGGGCCAGTTCATGTACCCCTACTTCAATCGCTCAAGTTGTTATTTAGCAAAGTGGTTTTGGGTTTTCAAACTAAGAAAACTACAAACTAAACAAGCAAAGAAAAGTAAAGTAAAGAAAGGAAAATTCTAACTAAGGGAGTTTCACCCAGGAGTTGCTTCCCCCTAACTAGCTACCATGACTCATTGGATTGAATGGAGTCGTGTGGCGTAGGTGGTTGTGAACACGCGGGGGTGCGAAACTAGTGATCGATTTGTCACGGCATGAATTCACTAGCGATCGATTTTTCACGGGCTCGATCCACTCACCAAGTCTAGGGGAACCTCTAGGAGGAGCAGCTAGTGATCCATTTGTCACGGGATGGATTCACTAGAGATCGATTTGTCACGGGATCGATCATCTCACTTAGTCTCTAGTGATTGCTTAGGTCTCTCCCTGAAACCGGAGTTTGAGTGGCTTAATCACAACCAACCTAGATGCAAGCTTGAGTCAAGGGTCTCTAATCCAATATTGAGGTTTGCCCTAAATTAACCTAGTTAGGCAACTTAAAAAGCCCTAGGGATACCACTTGATTGAGACTCCCTTGGAAGGGGGATTTCCCTTTCTAATCTAGGTTAAGTGGCTACTTAGATTGTTAAGCATAAACATGCACAATCTATAGGTTGTTAAGCACAAGCATGCACAATCCTTAGATTACTAAGCACCAATCATGCACAACCCTTAGATGCTAAGGACAAACATGCACAATCAACATGAATAATACCTCAATCTTTGAATTAAACAATACCCAATGACAATCATTCAATCTAAATAAGTAATTACAAAGTATTAGTTAGGGATCTACAACACCATAGAGAAAAGAGTCAGTTTCTAGAGAGAGAGAGAGAGAGAGAGAGAGAGAGAGGGATTACAAATTTGAGCTCAAGATCTTCCTCTTCTTCTTCTTCTAGGATTGAATCTCCACCTAAGCCTCCAATGATTCTCCAAGATCACTCTAGCACTCTCTCTCTCTCTCTCTCTCTCACTAGAACTTCCCTTTGGTGTTACCCTAGAGAAAGAAACAAATTCTTCTCCAGAACCCCACTCTCCTTTCTCAATCCCCGCTGTTGTCTTCATATTTTCCTGAAAGTGACCAGTTCACAGACGCATTGGCCAGTTCATGGCCATGAACACCTAAACGCGTCGGTGAACTCAGTCGTCTATAAGACGCACCGCTTTGCTTCCTAGGTTCACGGTGAAGGGGCTCAGTTCTAAGACCGTGAACTGCCTTATCGTCCGTAACTTCAGGAACCTCGCTGGACGCCTCGGTGTTCACAATTTGTGATCGCAGTGCACGGTCTTAGGAGACCGTGAACTGCAGTTGTTTCCTGTGACGCCTTCACTTCACTGTTACGAGGCAATTGTCACGGACTTTGCCCTTTTCTTTGGGTTTTACACTTTATGACCTACAATTATTTCAAAATTCGACCTCCGCCCTTCCACACGTGCTAGGACCTGAAATGTATAAAATCAAAGCACAACCTAGCATGAAATATGTCGAGGAACGATGAAATACTAAGCTAAACGAATAAGAAATGAGGGGTAAATTGTGTACATTTGGGCCCGAATCAGCGATCTTCTTCTTGGACTTTGGGATTTCTCACACTTCTCCGCCGTCGTTTCCCTCTTTTGTCTTCTCGTATCTAGGATGTTCCTCGAATCATATGGTTGAAGGTATTTGACGCTGGATTTGAATTCCCGACACTCTATGGTGTCATGTTTTGAAAGCTTATGCCAGTCACACCACTTTTGGTCTTCCCCCCTTCTTTGCGTATGATGCGCCTCTTGCGACCTCCCCCATTCAGGGCCCCTGCCCTCGTACTCTTTGTTGATATTGAATACTTTGCATCTATTGTCATGATGGACAAATTGGGCCTTGTATTCTTTTTGGCATGTGTTCGCGCCTTTACGGTGACCTTGGTCTTCTTTTCTCCATATTCTCTGCTTTGGGGGCTAAAGCTTCCTCCAATACGATCGCCTTCCTAACGAGGAAGTCAAGATTGGGCTAGGATGTCTAGTTGTGATCTTTCTTGATTAACGCCCTCTTCAGTTTGTGGCTATGCGTGGACATTTAAAGGTTATCGGCTGCCATGCTTGGAAACTCCTTGGACTTCACACACTAGGGCATTCCACCTGTCATTCTGCTAGCGGATCATCACTTCTCTACCTGCAATTGATGAGGGTGGACAAGGTGAGCTTTTGCATTCTCTGGGACACGAATTTGGATGAGAACTGTTCCACGAACTGCTATAAGCATTCGATTATTCCTTCAAGAAGAGAGGTATAATAGGTTTGGCAATAACCACTGAACATTACATGGAATGTCTTACATAGATCAGCGTCTAGTGCATTGGTGAGCTGCGTTTTTAGCATGAAATCGCTCGAGTGGTTTGTCGAGTTGGAATGGCCACTGTAAATCAGTAGCCCTAATGATGAGAAGTTGTATGGCACCTAGTCTTGAACAAGCTTCACGCCAAAGAGTTTTGGAGCATACTCAGGCCTTTTGCTTTCCTGTATGAGGACTTGAGATGTTCCTCCAGATATTTAAAGTTGACGTCTTCAACCTCTTTACCTTACAATCCCCCGCCTTCTATCCAAGCAAGGCTATCTGGGATTTCAACATCTCGCTCTTTATCTTTGGCTCTTTGCGCCTTTGAGCTCTCTGACTTATTCTTTGCCTTTAACATAGATAGGATCTGGTTCAAGCTTTCTAGCATGCTTGATATATGTTGACCCTGTCCTCTAACACGATCCTCCAGCTCTATTTCTTCTTCTACTTCTGGCATAGTAATAACACCTAAATTGGTGTTATTTACTCTTCATATTAAGGTTTTTTTCTTGCCAATTAAGATGCATAAGAGTTTGAACAACGTCAATTGCATCTCTATTTTGTTCCTATTTGATTTCGATGTGATTTTAGGAGGTTTTAGGCAATACATGCGAATTAGGTACAAAATAAGGTCACAAGGGTAGCAAAGGGGAAAACACTGAAGATCTTAACCTGGAGATGGAGATCATATCCGAGAACCATGCCTACGAAGTCCAGTAGAAGATCTTGGCCTGGAAATCCAAGATCGCTGCCGCAAATTTGAGGGTTGCGGGCGCGAGCTTCGTGAAGAAGGAGCCGAGGAGAAACACAGAGTTTCCCCAGGCAGAACACGGCCGAAGCACACACTGATCGCGAGGAAGTTCGCGACCGCGAAGTCAGCCCGCAAATTCATCGCCCCCGAAGGCCGCAATGACAGCATCTTGAGATCGCAACCTCTGTGTAGAAGATCGTTATATATTTCAAGCCCAAAAACTCCTCGCCCCCAAGGGCATTGTTTAGGATTTACTTGTTAAGGTAGAACGTTTTATATTTTAAGAGATATAGATGCTCCTCTCAATCTAGGTAGTCCATTTCTAGCAACATCTAAATCTGTCATTGATGTACAAGGTGGTAAACTAACACTAGCAATAGGAAATGAAGAGGTCACATTCACAAATCAGTCTAGGGTTCATACCAATGAGGAGTGTGATGAGTTGAATTTTTCAAAGGATTTACCCAATTTGTACAGTGTGCCTTCTTTCCTGTACCATGCGTCTGATGACCCTCTTGAACAATGGCTGGTGCTAGGTACGGAGATCGCATTGGAAATGAACCTAAATGAGTAGCTAAATGCATGGGTTAACAGAATTGGTGAAGAAGTGAACAAGAAGGTGGAACCTCTTCCAAACATAAAGCGAATTGCACCACTATCGAAGAACCACTGAGTATGGAATTGAAGACCTTACTCGAGCATCTAGAATATGTTTTCTTGAGGGAAGACTCAAAACTTCTGGTGATTATCAATGCAAATCTTGCTATAGAGCAGAAGTCGGGCCTCATTCAGCTGCTAAGGAAACACGAGAAGGCTATAGGTTGGAAGATAACAGATATTCAAGGAATCAGTCCATCCTTCTACCCTCACAAAATTAACATTGAGGACACGAGCAAGCCAGTATTCAACCCCAACGCGCCTCAAACGCAACATGGTGGAAGTCATTAAGGTAGAAACAATCAAATTGCTCGATGGATGAATAATCTATCTAATCTCTGATAGAACTTGGGTGAGTCCGACTCAAGTAGTTCCTAAAAAAGGATGAATGAAAGTCGTCGCAAATGACAATAACAAACTCATCCCTACACGGATAGTCACAGGATGGCAAGTTCGTATTGACTATCGCAGGCTTAATGACGTTACTCGAAAGGACCAATTCCCCCCTTCCATTCCTTGATCAAGTATTGGAACGGCTCGCTGGTCATGACTACTACTGCTTCCTGGATGGGATGTCTGATTACTTCCATATTCCCATCTCCCTAGAGGACGAAGAGAAGATAACGTTCACATGCCCTTTTGAAACATTCGCCTAGGAGAATACCCTTCGGTCTCTATAATGCTCCCGCAACATTTCAACGATGCGTGATCGCTATCTTTGATAAGTTGGTAGGAGACATGATAGAGGTTTTCATGAACGATTTTTATGTATTTGAGGATTCTTTTGACCTCTGCCCTCAAAACCTGGAGAAAGTTTTGGAGCGATGTATAGAAACAAACCTCTCACAAAGGAATAGTGCTCGAGCATAAGATATCCAAGAATGGTATCGAGATGGATTTGGATAAGGTCTAGACCATTAGAAAGCTACCCCCAGCAACATCTGTAAATGGAATTCGGAGTTTCCTTAGTCATGGCGGTTTCTACAAAAGATTTATCCAAGATTTCTCAAAACTTGCCCTTCCTCTCACCAGTTTACTAGAGAAATACGTAGTGTTTGAATTTTCTGCAGAATGCAAGGAAGCCTTAGAGACAATGATGAAACGTTTGACTACTGCACCAATCATGGTAACTCCAGGATGGGCACTGCCTTTTCAGTTGATGTGCGATGCAAGAGACTTTGTCGTGGGGGCAGTCTTGGGTCAGCGGAGAGTCAAACACTATTAGCCCATCTTCTATGCAAGTAAGACTCCAAACGATGCTCAAGAGAATTACACCACCATGAAAAAGGAGCTACTTGCTACAACTTTTTCATTTGACAAATTTCGACCCTACCTGGTTCTCTCAAAGGTTATTTTTTACACCAATCACTCCGCTCTTCGCTACCTGATGAAAAAGGCTGATGCTTGATCACTTATGTCCATGCAAGTTATTGTCAATGATTAGCACGTGTCAACAACTACCCCATCCTGATCCAAGTTTAACCTAAGATGGCTTTGTCGTATAGTGGCAATCAAGGTAGTATTGTACTCGGGTCCTGATACCCGAGCCTACTTCCCACCTCGTTGTTATTTAGTAGATCGGTTTTGGAAGTTTGAGTGGAGGATTTGAGCGAATTAACTAGTCTAGAGATTGATAAAGCTAAAAGCAGTTACTTCGGGAACTATCCCTCAGCTAGCCTAGGGCTACTATGTAATGTCTAGATACTTAGGGTTTTTGTAGGTTTTCATGGTTATCCAAAAACCTCCGAGTATGCATCCCCTAGACTCATATAAAGTCACCTCGATCTAGGCTATCGTACCTGGGGCATTAAGTTCGTACCTCTTTTCAATGGATACTATCAACCGTAAACACATTCGTTCATTCAAGGAGGGAAGAAGATACATAGAAGATGTGGAAGAAGACTTGATGTTGAGGAAGATGCATCCTCTCTTCTAACTCCTCCACCTTCTTCTTCTCTTCTCCTTCCTTCAGCTTCTCTCTCTTCTCTCTCTAAAACCAGAAATTCTTGTCTCAATATTAGCTCTCTTCGAAGGGGGAAATGGGTCTTCTATTTATAGGCAATCAGAGGATGGAGAATTTCACGGCTGGCAAGGAGATCACGGTCGGGATCTTCTATGGTGAGGCCGCAATCTTGAACCCAGTCGCATTGGCCTTTGGGATTGAGGAGATTGCGGGCTGACTTCACAGTCGCAATCCGCGAGTCGTGATTCGACTAGGGAAGCTTTCTGTTTCTCCTCGTCTCTTTCTTCGCGAAGTTAGCGCCTTGAGCCCTCCAATTCGCACGATCTTGCGCTTCCAGGACGCGATCTTCAGCTTGACTTCCCAGTCCATGATCTCAGCCGTGATCTTCTCTTCTAGGCCACGTTCTTTAGTCTACTGCCCACTTGATACACTTGTGACCTTGTTTCGTACCTAATTCGCAATCGTCGTCTAACAAACCCTAAAATAACATTGAATTCAAATAGGAACGAAATAGAGATGCAATTGACAATGTTCAAACTATTATGCACACGGATTGGCACGAATTAAACCTCAATATGAAAGCTAAATAACACCAATTTAGATGCCCCACAATTAGGCGCCTACTCAAACCTAATGCAACATGATAGACATATCAATGGGGAATACACTCTAGTACTTAATTGCATAAAGAAGAGTAGATGAAGATGAATGAATGTTACTATCATCTTATTGTGCAAGCACAAACTTTCGAGTGAAGACCATACCTACTACCTTAGGCCGAACATTTAAGGTGTGCTCCGGGGGATTTTCAAACAACATATAAGCACATGAACTCTCGAATGTGCTCTTTATTCTTTCTTACGATTAGGAGTTGTCGTTCATTGGTCTCCTGATAACATCGGATTTACACATGTTTGCACCCTCGTTTCTTGATCATTTTGGCTTGAGTTTTTGCTTTCTTGGACTATTTTACGCTAGGTTGTGTTCCTTTGTCACATTTCAGGACCTAGCATGTGAATTGAAGCATAGGCACAAGTTTCAAGTCAATCGGAGATCATTTGGCAATTCGGGAGAAGAAACACGAGCATGACCTGAGGAATAATGGACATCTACCTCATATTATAGACAAATAATCATGGAATTTTTTCATGAAAAGAAATAGGACGAGACTACGAGCGTCTGGGATCAAACAGCGACAGATTCGTAGTCTCGTTTCTCCCTACATCATTCACCCTTGATCTGGTAACTTCGTTCTACCCTCCTTATCTTTCCTCCATTGAGGACAATGTCGTGCTTAAGTGTGAGGGGGGGGTGTTTGATTATGTTTGCGGGTGAATGTTTGGCTGTTTGTGTGCTTGGAGCCTAGTCCACTGTCCAAATTTGAGATTTGAGGGCTCCAAGTACTGCTGTTTGCTTGATCATATTGGCACTGTGTTTTTAATTGGTGAATTGAATGGCTTTCGACTTAATGCATGACAACTGAGGTGTGACTAGGACAACCTATGATGATGACTGAGACGTGCAGTAGGATTGTGTGGGGGTTCAGCTTTTCAACTGTTTGCTTACCAACTGTGACTTGAATGGATCGTTTGTTTTTTACAGTCATTTATGCATCTAGTTCAGGGAATCAGAATGAGAGATAGAGCATATAGGTAGCCATGTGAGATTTGAGCCTGCTTGTTTCTTTCTTGTGCGATAGTTCCCTCTTCCATGATGTGTAGCATTCACGTTGTCATTGGCTAAGATGATGGAGGCATAGGATTAGCCCACGACCAAATTGACTGTCCTGGTGTGTCATACCCTCTAGTCAACCCCATTGAGCCGTGTGTTATCCTTTCTTTCAGTCTACAATGAAAAATCACCCTTTTGCATCTTTTAGAAGGTTCCACAGAGTGGTTTTTACATGTTCTCTGTTGTTTCTGCTAAATATAATGTGAGGGTTGGAGGTAGTGCTTAAAAGTTGGGCATATGTTTGAAATATGTGCAGAGGTGGTGGTTCTCTTAAGGAATGAAAAAAAAAAGAATGAGAAAAAAAATGAAAGCAAAAGAGAGCCACTACCAAAAATCTGAATAGTGCCCATTAAGTAGTGTTTCTTAGCAGTCTGGCTTGGAAATACTGACATTTATATAACCTCCTTCGCTCGTGTGCTCGTAAGAATTTGAGTAATGCAGAATGGCAGAAATAAAGTAAGTGGTTTGATTGACTATGATTGTGTTGGGTTTGGAATTGTGGAACCTTGTGCTACGAATACTTCCACCACCTAAAAGGCCTTTTCCCCATGTCCAAGACCGTAGCCAGTCATCTGAACCTGTGTCTAAGACCTCCGGATTAGTTAGTGGTGACACCTCATATGTGAACTCTAGTATTTAGAGGCTGCTGTCATGGTGAAGAACTGTTAGGGATTGATAGAATAAGCATGCGCATTTTCTCATATTGTCCTGACCCCACTAGTCGAGAGTGAGCGATTCATTTTCTCATATTCTCTATACTCTTGTACCCCGGTGAGGACCTAGATTGCTTGGTCTCTATTCTGATATCTTGAGTTTTTTGCATGAGGTGACTGTCTTGAGTAAGTGGTTGAGTCAAGTCTATGTTGATTGATGAACCTAAGGGAGACTCCTCCTTTACTCGATTTTGCTGCACTCGAATGTCCTCTGTGGTGGTTGTCCAGGTTGCGGTTAAAGTTGTTCATGTGTTGATGTTTGAAAGCCTGTGTGATTCCCATGTTTTGAGCCTATATGATTTGTCCCCAATGTTGGTATGAATGAAATTGTGAGCTTAACTTGTGTCTGACTTGGTTTGCTTGGGGACAAGCAAACGGTTAAGTGTGGGGGAGTTTGATAACATCGGATTTGCACATGTTTGCACCCTCGTTTCTTGATCATTTTGGCTTGATTTTCTGCTTTCTTGGGCTATTTTACGCTAGGTTGTGTTCCTTTGTCACATTTCAGGTCCTAGCATGTGAATTGAAGCATAGGTGCAAGTTTCAAGTCAATCGGAGATCATTTGGCAATTCGGGAGAAGAAACACGAGCATGACCTGAGGAATAATGGACTTCTACCTCATACTATGGACAAATAATCATGGAATTTTGTCATGAAAAGAAATAGGACGAGACTACGAGCGTCTGGGATCAAACAGCGACTTATTCGTAGTCTCGTTTCTCCCTACATCATTCACCCTTGATCTGGTAACTTCGTTCTACCCTCCTTATCTTTCCTCCATTGAGGACAATGTCGTGCTTAAGTGTGGGGTGGGGGTGTTTGATTATGTATGCGGGTGAATGTTTGGCTGTTTGTGTGCTTGGAGCCTAGTCCACTGTCCAAATTTGAGATTTGAGGGCTCCAAGTACTGCTGTTTGCTTGATCATATTGGCACTGTGTTTTTAATTGGTGAATTGAATGGCTTTCGACTTAATGCATGACAACTAAGGTGTGACTAGGACAACCTATGATGATGACTGAGACGTGCAGTAGGATTGTGTAGGGGTTCAGCTTTTCAACTGTTTGCTTACCAACTGTGACTTGAATGGATCGCTTGTTTTTGACAGTCATTTATGCATCTAGTTCAGGGAATCAGAATGAGAGATAGAGCATATAGGTAGCCATGTGAGATTTGAGCCTGCTTGTTTCTTTCTTGTGCGATAGTTCCCTCTTCCATGATGTGTAGCATTCACGTTGTCATTGGCTAAGATGATGGAGGCATAGGATTAGCCCACGACCAAATTGACTGTCCTGGTGCGTCATACCCCCTAGTCAACCCCTTTGAGCCGTGTGTTATCCTTTCTTTCAGTCTACAATGGAAAATCACCCTTTTGCATCTTTTAGAAGGTTCCACAGAGTGGTTTTTACATGTTCTCTGCTGTTTCTGCTAATATAATGTGAGGGTTGGAGGTAGTGCTTAAAAGTTGGGCATATGTTTGAAATATGTGCAGAGGTGGTGGTTCTCTTAAGGAATGAAAAAAAAATGAAAAAAAAATGAAAGCAAAAGAGAGCCACTACCAAAAATCTGAATAGTGCCCACTAAGTAGTGTTTCTTAGCAGTCTGGCTTGGAAATACTACATTTATATAACCTCCTTCGCTCATGTGCTCGTAAGAATTTGAGTAATGCAGAATGGCAGAAAGAAAGTAAGTGGTTTGATTGACTGTGATTGTGTTGGGTTTGGAATTGTGGAACCTTGTGCTACGAATACTTCCACCACCTAAAAGGCCTTTTCCCCATGTCCAAGACCGTAGCCAGTCATCTGAACCTGTGTCTTAGACCTCCAGATTAGTTAGTGGTGACACCTCATATGTGAACTCTAGCATTTAGAGGCTGCCGTCATGGTGAAGAGCGGTTAGGGATTGAGAGAATAAGCATGCGCATTTTCTCATATTGTCCTGACCCCACTAGTCGAGAGTGAGCGATTCATTTTCTCATATTCTCTATACTCTTGTACCCCGGTGAGGACCTAGATTGCTCAGTCTCTATTCTGATATCTTGCGTTTTGTGCATGAGGTGACTTTCTTGAGTAAGTGGTTGAGTCAAGTCTATGTTCATTGATGAACCTAAGGGAGACTCCTCCTTTACTCGATTTTGCTGCACTCGAATGTCCTCTGTGGTGGTTGTCCAGGTTGCGGTTGAAGTTTTTCATGTGTTGATGTTTAAAAGCCGGTGTGATTCCCATGTTTTGTGCCTATATGATTTGTCCCCAATGTTGGTATGATTGAAATTGTGAGCTTACCTTGTGTCTGACTTGGTTTGCTTGGGGACAAGCAAACGGTTAAGTGTGGGGGAGTTTGATAACATCGGATTTGCACATGTTTGCACCCTCGTTTCTTGATCATTTTGGCTTGAGTTTCTGCTTTCTTGGACTATTTTATGCTAGGTTGTGTTCCTTTGTCACATTTCAGGTCCTAGCATGTGAATTGAAGCATAGGCGCAAGTTTCAAGTCAATCGGAGATCATTTGGCAATTCAGGAGAAGAAACACGAGCATGACCTGAGGAATAATGGACTTCTACCTCATATTATGGACAAATAATCATGGAATTTTTTCATGAAAATAAAGAGGACGAGACTACGAGCGTCTGGGATCAAACGGCGACTGATTCAGAGTCCGGAAGAGGGAGAAACGAAGCATTAAACAGAGGCTGAGCAAGCCACACGGGCACACCTAAAAACCCACACGACCGTGTGACCTGGCCATGTGCCGTGTGGGATTTACCGAGCACTCACACGGGCATCTTGGGGACTCACACGGCCGTGTGGCCCCTGCCCTTGTAGCTTGCCTGGTTGCCCATTAATCGAAACTCCGCGTTTTGGCACTCACACGGGCAGCTGGGTAAGCCACACGGCCGTGTGGCCTGGCCGTGTGAGTCGGGAATCTCTGGTTTTAAGCCAAATTTCGAGCCAAAGGAGAGAGTGAGCTGGGTTTTGGTTCCCAAACACCCAAGGGACGAACCCTAGAGAGAGAGAGTGACTTGGGAACATTCTTGGAGCTATTTTGGAGGATTTCTTCACCATTGGAGCTCGAGAATCAAGCTTGGAGATGGAGATTGAAGATCTATATCAGATTTCTGCAGTCTCTCTCTTCTCTAAGGAGTAACTTCCCTTCACTTAGGTTTTGAGGAACCCTAGTTCCATGTGTTAGGATCTTTCTTGTATGAAGTTTTGGATGCTATATTGTTTGATTATAATCGATTGAGGCATGATTTATTGAGTCAATTGAATCTTGATCAAATTCTCTTGATTTCTGCTTTAACCTATGATAGATAGAATCTGATTAGGTTAAGAGAGCTTCCTTGATTGATAGTGGTGAATTGGTTCTGCGAGAGTCAACCAATTCACTGCTTTGTACTGGAATTCATTCCAGTAGTGGAGATCTGTGTGAATCGCCTTAGCAGTCTATCCCGGTGAAGGCTAGTCGCCTGCCGGGTATTCTGTCTAAGAGGGCTTGGTCAGCTTAAGAGATTCCAAGCTAATTTAGGATCTTCCGCAATTTAATCAACAGTAGACCAACCAAAAGTAATTGCAACTTGGACCTAATTGAGGAGCTAGGGGGAATCATACCTAAGTGAGTTCCCAACTTGTAATTAGTAGAGTAGTTAGTAGAGTAGTTTATAAATCAATCCTTAATCTAGTTTGCTAGATGATGAACTGAAGCTGAGTAATAGTAACTCTAGAGACCCGTGGATTCGATATTTATTACTTGTGCCACTATACTGCAGTCCCTTTCATTGGTTACATTTAGCCATTGTCAGGGGTTGTGTCGTAGCGTGTCATCTCCTTTTTCAACGTTGACGCGCATTGCACCAAGCTTTTGTAATTCTTTTGCAAACAAGCATCTCTCCCTCATGACCAAGAGTGGATGAATCATAGCCTTCCTTTCAAGGTCACGTGTGGGGAAGTTCAAGGTCACTTGTTCTTTTCCTTTTGCTTTTATTTTGAGACTATGGATTGTTTGAAGTCTTCTCCTTTTTGTTGTGTGTATTTAACGGGCAATGTAAGACACACTTTCTTGCAAAGGCACCATTTTGGGAAGGAACGCGTTGCTTGATAATTTATGTTCCACCTTTTATGTATAAGGCCAACATGAGCCAAAGGAAAAAACAAAACAAAAAAAAAAGCTCAAATGACTTGCTGAGGGTTATGTTTATTATAGTGGTACCTCCGATTCTTCATAATCTAGGTCAACACCACCTAAAAAGAAAGCTTCTAGAGTAAATGTAACACACTTCTCTTTGCCTAAACCCTCTATTCAACGAGTGTTCAGAAGCGGAAAGCAATAACCTCGCTTCTGAACCAAAAAAACAAAAGGATTCTAAAACACACACAAAAATAAAAAAAAGACTCGAAATATAAATATAAAGCAAAAATAACATGTATCTTTCTCCCTTTCTAAAGAGCTTGTGAGTCCCCAGCAATGACGCCAAAGTTTGATTTATTGTAGAACATGGGTCAAATTTACATGGTTGGTAACCAACACCGTATTTCCTTCAGGCTTCACACGCCTCCTTACTCAGTCAGTAAGGGACTTACTCTTTGGGTTTGTAAAACAAATATGGAGGTTGAGGTGGCTCCGGAGTGGAAGTTCACTAACTCGCGATCTATTATACACTCGAACCATAGGCCAAGTATAATTCTACAACGGGTGTTGTATTGGGCGAGTATATTTTAAATTATTAACTCGAGCGTTTGTCTACTCTTAATTCAGTAAACCACAAGTTATCTAGCGATAAAACCGTTTCTGAAAACTAACAAACTAAGCAGACAAACAGCTAAAACGATGTTGAATTCAAGTGAGAAGGCTCCACTCGGATAATTATCCCCAAGTTCCGTGTTGAGATAAGATTGTAATACTCTAGTTTGATTGGGAATTTATATATAGCGTTGGGAGATCTAATATTGTTAGGACCCTCTATTTGAGTGCATCATAACCCGCCTAATCGATCAAATCGCAGGGGCGTACCACACTACCACAGTAAACGACTAGGAAACCAAATCTATTCCCTCGAGCATTGACCTGGAACTGCATAAGATACCATTCACCTTAATTCATGGCTCTCTACAATGATTGACTAGGGACCCAAATCTCCATAAGGAGACCTTCTCTTTCTTAGATCAATTTGCCCCAAAATTGATAAAATTGATCAATGCCACTCTATTTACATGAGAAATACTACATCAATATATAATTAAACATGCCCATCATCACATAGAGTTCAAAAACATCAATCTACAACATCCTAGACTAGGGATCACATCATTCAAGTGAAAAGAGAAACTACTCCATTGTAGAGAAAGAACAACAACTAGAAAAGAGGGAAAACCCATGGAAACTTGATTCTTATCCTTAAGAATTGCTTGGATTGATCATTGGAGATAAACTCTAGACTCCTATTGACTTGGGTAGGTCAAATCAATCTTCAATTCTCCCTTGTTCGTAGGTTTCTCTCTAGGTTAAGGAACAAGAAACCCAATCTTACTCTAAACTCTCCAACTCTTGAAAAATCTGATCTCCTCCATATATAGCTTGACTGTGCACGTTTCACGGTTGCACATCACGCCTGTGAAGTATGCAACAAAACAGCAATTTCAGTGCAAAAGGCACTGTTTCAGTAACCACTTAACGATTTCCATGTTGACTTCATGGTTTGAGACCATGATCCTTACAACCACGAGACAAATGAAAGCTCCTGGATATCTGCGAACTTCAAGGCCTCCTTGTAATGTTCACGGTCTATTGCCCATGATAATCACCACCAAATAGTGATTCATGCACTTTTCACCATATTACTTCCTTTTCGATTCCTTTCATTTGAATTTCATTCCTTTCGCCCATTTCACCTACTATGGCCTGAAACATATTAAAACATTCCAAAATCTATCATAAAATAGGTCCATGCTAAACAAGTCAAACAACCAAGTCAAAGGGGTAAAAATATATATAGAATGAAACGAATCATTCCCATTGTTTGTGCCGAAAATCAAAAGTAAAAGAAAAGGAAAACAACCTAAACTACTAGACGAGAGAAAAATTAAAAAAAAATTCAAATCCCTTTAGCTTATCCTCCATCTTTGCCACCAAGTAAATAATTTCCATGCATTTTTTGGCTGATCTGGGACTCTCCAGAAACAGTGCCTAGACCGTCATTTTGGGGTTTGGTCACATAAATTTCACGATAAATTATGGGTTTAGCTCAAATCTCCATTTCTAACTTCCAATAGCTAGTCCATGATGTCTCCCACTCGTCCAAGGTGGTCCAAGGGTGCATCAAAATAGTAAAAGTCATCCTAGGAACTACTAAACACACCTTTGAGTATTTATCAAGAAAATCCAAGGTAACAAGAAAATGAGGATACGAAAATGATGTAAAATTTGCAATTAAATATACGTCTAAAATAGTACTGTTCATGTTTCATCACCTCTCCAGCCTGCTCCCTCAAAATGGTCTTTTGAAGTCTTTTAACAAACCACTAGTTCGCCCTCGAGTAGGTCATCTCTATTGTAGCAGGAATGGGCATTGCATACAGCCCATGTACACTCCAGTTATAGTTTTCCCATAGTTAGTTTTGGAAATTCCAAACCTAACCCCAACACCCATACCAAATGTCCACATGTCTAGATCTTACTCTTCAGATCATGATGCACACATCCGCTGTATTTGTCGGATAACTTTCATTTTCTACTCATATTTTCTTGGTTGGTGGGCAATGATTGTTATTTGACAAAAACTATGTTTATATTAAACATGGCACACATTAATGATAAGAGTAGAACAGAACATAACATCATGTGGCTAATGTTTGTGTTGGTATTTTCTAAGAAAGTGGCATTTGCACCATTGTCACGCCACCTCCATTCATCGTAAAAATTTTACATGGCGTGTCTAATCTCGGGTGGCAATAAGAGATTATGGTATTTTATCTCTGTGTGAAGTGCTCACGTAGATGCTCGAAAAACTAACGAAGCTAAAGTTTTCTCTCCTGCAACTATTGCAATGCAAAGGAAAAAATCTGCATGTTCCCATCAATGCCTATGGCTATAAGAATTGTATCTTTTTACTTTACAATAAAGAATGTGCCATTGATTGGGATCATTGGGTGAAAGAAACCCAATCATCAATGCATAGCTTGAATGACCAGAAGAGGGTGAAACATGTGCTCACTTTGTATCCAAACTTAGTCACTAGTTTCTACATTGTTGTATCATGGCACAAAAACTTTCTGCATCCATCTTCGAAATCAGTATGGGGAGGAGAGCATATGAGTCGTCACAATCACCATACTTGTTATCCATGGCTTTTTGCTTTCCATGCCGCTCCTTATTTTACGTGATTGTGTAGAATTGGTAATCATTGACTCTAACCATGATAATTTTGATGGTGATGTTTGGTTGTGCCTCAATCAAGTATTTGATAGTGACACTCACTTTCTCCGTATTCATTGGGTGGTGGTAGTGCGAAAGTATGCACGAGAAGCAACTATGGTTGTTATGCGTTGTTCTAATTACTGAAGCCCCCTTTATCTTCATCCATGTAGCCTATAATTCCCACTATAAGTTATCTCCATAATTCTTGCATATGACATGAAGTCGTTTTTTGTCAAAATATTTTACCTTCCACTCAAAATTCTCTTGCATCGCTTCTTCTTTGAGAGCATTAGCCACAACTTCCTTCATAGGAAATGCCATACCCCGTTCAACTCGATTATTGGGTTCCATACCGCAGAGCGAGAAAGTCGGGGGTCATCGATGTGATCATATAAGATATAGGTGGGATATTTTTGTAGTAAGATGTAGGGGGATGACGCAACCCTTATCCTCATCATTCCCTTCATTGTCTTCTTTCTCGTTCACAAATCTCAAATCTTAATCATATTTCTTGCCGCTTTTGTACGGATAACCGGATCTTTCGAATATGGGATTATTGTGACCATCTCCACCAACATTGTCATCTCTCACTAATCCTACGGATTATCTAGATTGATCATGTCGAGGTGTCCTAGTTTCTCGAATGGTATTCTCAATTCCAATCCATTATGGGACCCAAAACATAACTACTTAAATATAAGTATATTAAACAAATTCATTCTTACTTTATCAAATGAAGTTGAGGTAATGAAGATGTAGAGCTCGGTGGGATGAAGAGGAAAGTTGAAGGAAGCTTCTATTATTGCTTCTTCCGTAAGTGAGGAAGAGGAAATGAGATTGAGTAGAAATGAGTGGTAGGGAACATTATTTATTTTGTCCAGTTCGTGAATTGATCGTTTTAGGGGTAAGGAATCTACTACTTCATCGCTCAGGACAAAACCAATCTACACCTTAATCGCTTAGGACAAAAACGATCTACGGTTTGACCGGTTGATCCAAATTGCTGTTACCTAACCTTATCCTGGAGGCTTGTCAGATTGAAAGACCGGACGGGCGGAAATTGTTTGCTTCAATCTAAACTTTAAAGTGATCAAGGTTTGAAAATCCCAATCTATACAAGTATTAAGGAAATACACAGACAAAGATGCCGCCACTGGTTGATGTCAACGTATCCAAATCTTTTTCTCAGAGACCATATATCATAACAGTTGTATCTCGTTCTCAACTTGTGTTGGATGATGATATTGGCTTACCTGTGTTGCTCATCTCACTCTGGGGCCTTGGTTTTGCTGCTACTTCGGCTGGGCCTCAACAGCTGCTTTAGAAGCGCCATTTTGGGCACATTCCAATTCTCCACATGCCTGCAGGATTTGTTCCACAAATTCAAAGAAGGTCCCAGTATATCGCTGCAAAAGCGCATCCCATTTGGAATTGGAGGAGTCCCCATTGCGCAGTGAAATGCAACAGATTTACCTGTAAACTCGTCCAGTTTGGGGATGAAAATAGTACTCTGTAAACCCAGTTGCTGAGGAAATAAAAACAAACACAGCGAGTCAACACCATATTACTGACGCAAGCAGTAACGTTAACAACAACAATAATAATAATAATAATAATAATACCAGAAAGAATGGGCCGCCATGGGAATGACATTATGCAGCTGAATTTCCAATGCCCAATCCCCTTATCCTGCAACAGCCGACCCAAGTGCAAAATCCAGATCCGGTAAACGAATAAGCATCCGATCAGTTTGTTGCTATCAATCAATCGTATATACATTCTGACTCGATACCTCAAAGTCTTCCCAATTGGTGAGCTTCATATTCGACGTCTGAATAAGCAACCCAAAATTCGAGCAGTTCCTTTTGAAACGGCGAAGCCCTTTGAATGAACCAGCTGGGTCCGCAAACTCGCAATTCTCTTCGTACGCCTCAAGTGTAAGGTTCCCTAACCCAGTACATATCAAGAGTTCATTCTGTCAAAATTCAAATCAAACTAACTAGAACGGACAAAAGACTCTATTCGAATGATGGCAACCTGTGACGAAATACGATCTCTGGAAGTCTTGTTTGATGGCCTGGACCACCACGGAGCGATCAAGGGTTCCTGAACCGTCCCTCGCGAGTTCGACGCCCTTCAGCGGAGATTCGACTTCCCGCGGCGGACGGAACAATGAGGCGGCGACTCCCAGGAGCTCCGACCCGTACCAAGCCAGCTTCAGTAAAGCATTGTTCCCGGTCTCCTCCTCCTCGTCCTGCTTGGCTGACGAATCTGTCGATGGGCTTGCTTTACCGCATCGGATTCGGGCGATCCGGCGACAAACGATTGTTTTTCTTGATTGGTGAGAAGTAGCCGGTTGGTTGATAACAGAGCCGGGGGAAAGAGAAAGAAGGGCCGCCATAGATCGGTTGGGAGCGAAGCAGTTACTGGTAGCGTGCCTTGCTAAATATCTGGAAACTCGAACACTGCCCGCCACCAGAAAACTATTACTCGTTGTTTTTTTTTTCTTTTTTCATTAATAAATTTGTTGGATCGCTCCCACGAGTTTCAACTCGAAGGCAAAAGCGGAGATAGGAAGATAATTAATCGTTTGCGTCGATTAGGTTTCTCAAATTCGGTGTCTTAGTTAGTTCCATCAACACGGCTGGTGGCATGTGTTGGCCGTTGGGTACGGCGGAAATATATGGCTTGTTTGCTTGATGGATTTGGTGAGTGATTTACCCTCATGTATTTTGTCCAAAATTCATTCTTTGTTTGATGCATTTAGGGGCAACAAATCCGTGGAACCTATGAATTTGAAAGTTTCACATATTTAGGTGGGCCAATACTATGGTGCCGCGATAAAAAGTGCGGCATCGGTAACGCTGAATATGATTGGGCCACGTGGAGCTGGCGTGGCGCGAGCTAACTTATGTAATCTTAGTTCAAACCCATTGCTCGAGAATTTATCCCCAAATAGATTTTAACCGAAATGACGGAGATGCATTGATTTCGTCTTTCCACTTCCCATTCATTTAGCCTGTTTTCTTCCAATCATTTAAGTTTTAATTTTAAAATGCATTTGTTTTTCTCGTTGAGCAGAGAGAAACATGGAACAAAATGGAAAAGCAGAGGTCGTCTTCCTCAATCTGGTGCTCCGTCTTCCCGTGAATAGGAAAAAATTGTCCAGCGACCTTCATCGCCGCCGATTCAATCTCGTGTTTGTACCTTCTGCATGCACTAAAATGTACCGTCTTCCTCCTAAATTCATTATGGAAAACAAAACGTCGAATCCCTAGTTACGAGCACCCCTCTGTCTTGGTCGATCCGCTCTTTCACCGCCGTACAAGACTATTCGAAGCCAAAGGTAGGATCACCCTCCCTTTGCGTCATTCCACTTGGTCTGCGCACCTGCCTTCACTGTAGGAATCATTGAAACTGAGTCCCACTGTGCATAAATTCTGGAAGCAGAGGTTAGTCCTGGCCGATAGATGAGCGGGTGAGCGAATTTTTTATACAAAATAGAGAGGACTGACTCTGAATGGGTTGGGTATAGCGCAATCGACGAATAAGGTTGACCCTGGAGATGGTATCGAGCACGAATAAGTGACAGTAGTGATTTTGGAGGCACCACCGGTGAAGGAGGGAGTCTCTCACCTGCTCTGACTTTGGACCCGTCTGGTATTTGGCGGTGGCACGTTTCGATGGTGAAAGAGGCTCGCGAAGATACAGATTTCTTCGCCTCTGAACAAGTAACCGGGATGATTTTGGAGATGGGATCGGTCGTGAAAGTCACTGGAGCGATTTTGGGGAGAACGCCGGAGAAGGAGATGGAGGAACTGCCTATTGTTTCGTCCGTCGTCATCCCCTGTTTTTCTGTTTTCCAGAATCTTCAGGAATACAAATTAATTGCATTTTTAAATTAATAAAATGATAAAGACAATTTGTCAAAAAAAAAAAAAAAAGAGGAATCTTTGGGTTGGATGGAGAAGGATTCTCCGTTAGTGTGGGGGAGCGGGTTGGTTATTATCCATTACTTTTGGGCTTTGGTATTGAGTTAAATCAATCCAATCACTATCTCATCAGCTCCACAGCGGCACTACGGTATTGGCCATTTAGGTGGGAATTGATCATGGACTTTGAAGTCCATCATTTGAGACCAAACTACCCCCTCCTATTTCATTTATCTTCTCATACCAATGAGGGCAATAAAGGCAAATTTCACTTCATACATACAAATCTAATTAATCAAATCCATCATGAAATCTATAAAACAAACAATGGTATTTTTCAAGTCCATGATGAACCCAAAACTCTCATATATCCATGGTTTTACAAAACCCAAGTTTTACCAAAACCTTCATTTTTCAAATCCACAAAACAAACAACCCCATAGTACAATTTAGGATCGAGAATATCAGATCAAATTATTTCACTCTAATATTTTTATAATACCGGCAATTGTTGCCTTTTACAATTTAGAGTTGCTGCTCTTAATTGTTCTACTTCCACCATCCCAAACTAAGCCCCCATTTTCCCACACTTGGATTAGGCAAGTTTATTGCATTAGCCCATTGAGAGGAGATTATGCTCTGTAAGGGATGGGTTAAGGTGGTTGCTCATTTTTTAGTAACCACGGTGACTACTAAAATCTACACCCTTTATTACTGATTCGGGCCAAATTGTACATATTTTACCCCCGTTTTCCTTAGGCGTTTGTGGCAATTGTGCTCCTAAAAAAGTGGTTTTACGCGAGGTTTCTTGTGTTTTAGCATGTTTCATGATTTAACTGGTGAAACCAGCCACGGAGTCGAAAGTTGGATGAAAAGGAGCAAAAAGCGGGAGAAGAGGAGAAAAAGAGGCAGTTCATGGTTTCTCCTGGAAATTCACAGTCTGCTTAGACCGTGAAGAGGAGCCATTGCCAGTTAACTTCGAGGCATCCAGGGCCAAATCTCAAGTTACTGACGCTAATTGAGTTCACAGTCACTAAGACCGTGAACTAGAGTTGTTTCCAATGAACCAGAGCAAGCGAAGCGGTGCGTTTCGACACCAACCTCAAGTTCACGGACGCGTTCAAGAGTTCACGGGCGTGAAGTAAGCTCGATCCCTGTTTAAAAGGAGAGCTGAAAGGAAGAGAGAAGGGGGAGCCCAAGAGTGAAAAAGTGTCTTCTTCTTTAGCTTTTAGAGAGAGAAAAAATGAACCAAAGGAGAAGGAAGGCTAAGGTTTGCTCCAAGTGTTGAATTGTGAAGATTCTACTCAAGAGAAGTTCAGCACAAGTGCAAAGAAAATTAGGAGCATTTGCATGATGATTTCTACCTCTTCCCCTTGTGTTTCTCCCCTTTCTAGCATGGGGTAGTTTCCTTTTTCACTTGGGTGTTGTGAAACCTTAACTATTTGCCATATAGTCTATCGGTAAATTGCATGTAGAGAGGTCCTTGGCGGATATAGGTGCTAGTATTAATGTGATACCATATAAATTGTTCAAGAAACTAGGCCTAGGTGAACACAGTTGATAGACCGTTAATTACACATGTTTTCACCCCTGTTCTTACACCATTTGAGATGTGATTTCTCGCGTTTTAGGACGATTTCACGCTAGGTTGTGCTTGTTTGTGATATTTCAGGTCCTAGTACGTGAATGGAGGCTCGGGAGCGAGTTTGGGGTCGATTGGACGAAGATCGGGCGCGAGGCAAGTCACAAAGGAGGCCACACGGGCACACCCACAAATAACACGGCCGTGCAACTCATATTTCTGGCCGTGCGAGTTTTGCCGAGAGCAAACACGGCCTGCCCTGACAACTCACACGGCCGTGTGAAGAAGTGGTCTGACCGTGTGACTTTTGCCGAGAGCAGACACGGTCAGATGGAAATCAAACACGGCCGTGCCACTCTGGCCGTGTGAGAAGCCTGAAGATCGAACTAAGTGCAACGCAGCGTTTTGACTCACACGGGCAACTGGGTATGCCACACGGCCGTGTGGCCCTGCCCGTGTGAGTCGGGATTTCCTGGTTTTAACCCAATTCCGGGCTGCAAGAGGGAGAATCGGACTTTTTGAGCAAAAACAGAGTTCTAGAGAGAGAAAGGACGAAGAACACACCCTAGAAGCCATCTTGGAGCTGGGTTTCATCAAATCAAGCTTGGAGATCGTCATAGGAGTGGAAATCATCATCCCAGAGCAGATTTTCCTCATCTTTATGAGTATGACTACTTTGTATCTTGTTTTCCTCTCTCTCTCTCTCTCTATGGAGTAGAACCCCTCTCTCACTTGGGGATGAAGAACCCTAGTTCTATGTGTTAGGGATTGATTGTAATGACTTGGGATGAGATTACTGTTTGATTTTAATCGAATGATGTATGTTTATTGAGTCAATTGAAGTCTGATCAACTTTTCCTGATTCCTGCTGCAATCTGAGATAGATAGAATCTGATTAGGTTGCTAGAGTCTCATCATTCGATAGTAGGAGATTGGCTATACGAGAGTTAGCCAGTTTACTGCTTTGTACTGGAATCCAATTCCAGTAGTGGAGTTCTGTGCTTATTGCTTCAGCTTTCTTTCCCGGTGAAGACTAGTCGTCTGCCGGATAGTTAGACTGAGAGGGCTTGGTCACCTTAAGAGATTCCAAGCTACTGTCGGATCTTCCGCAGTTTAATCAACAGTAAATCAACCAAAAGGAATTACAACTTGGACCTAATTGAGGAGCTAGGGGGAATCATACCTAAGTGAGTTCCCAACTTGTAATTAGTCGAGTAGTCAGTAGAGTAGTTTATCAATCAATCCTTAATCTAGTTTGCTAGATAATGAACTGAAGCTGAGTAATAGTAACTCTAGAGACCCGTGGATTCGATATTTATTACTTGTGCCACTATACTGCAGTCCCTTTCATTGGTTACACTTGGCCATTGTTAGGTGTTGTGTTTTAGAGCATCAAGTTTTTGGCGCCGTTGCCGGGGAACCTCTCCCCCTCGCCGGAAAACCGCGCAAAAACCCTACTTTTTTATTTTTTCGGCCATTTTTTGTCATCTTTTCACCAAACCAACAACAAACCCACCCTTCCTCCACCAAAATCGGCCAATCCCTCCATTTTGAGGAGATTTGGCCGACGTTTTTGTCGCCGGAGGCGATTTCCGGCGAGACTCCGGCGAGGCTCCGACGAGCACTTCCGGGCACTTTTTCGGCTTTTCGTCGCTTCCATCGCCTTCCCCTCATCATCCCCTACACCTCTACTTGAGTCTCCAGGTTTGATTTTGCCCTTAACTATGTTAATTGTGGAGAATTGGGTGTTAGGGTGCATGTTTAGAGAACCTCATTGAATCTTGTGATTTTTGTGCAATTGATTGAGTGGAATGCATGGAGTGTGTTTGAATTGTGTTGGGCAAAGTCCCTCTTGATTGTTTGAGCCCTTGTGTGCAAGAATTGTGCCAATTTCATGTCTACCTTAATAGTGCACACAAGGTGTTCGATGAAATGCCTGTTTTCGTACCATTTTGTGGGGGTCGGTTGGGACCCTTAATGATGTGCTTTGAGGGTGTATTTGGTATGGATGTGAACCTTAAGTTGCCTATTTTATTGTGAATGTGCACCCCCACTCAGATTATGCTTGATTTATCGAGTTTCTGACCCCC